AGCCAGACCCAATTGGAGATCGGGCTGTATGGTCAAAAGGATGGCGTCATACTGCTTCATCTCGATCGTGCCGCACTCCCCATCGCCCTGGTCCCCGCCAAGTGAGACACCAGCTCCGTTCCCTAGCTGGCGGCCTCGAGAAAGGTGATCGGCAGCACTTCACTTCTGACATGGTCTGCCTCCGCCTCCGCTCGGTCGCCTCGATCAGCTGCTCCATCGCCCTCTCGGTCCAGTCCGCCTTCCTGCGATCTCGACCGTTTATCATCTTGTCCAGGTGGCACACCGCCAACATTCGACAGAACTCCTACGGGTACGCCTGCGACACTCGCGTCCTGAACCGACCCTTGGCGTCCATGCCGCACATGCTTCCCAGGTGCTTCTGGTGGATGCAGGGCCTCTGGAACCTCTCGAATACTGATGCCGTCCCCGTGATCGTCGTTAGTTTGAGCGCCTGGCATCCCCATGTGCACTGGGGAAAGGATACTCGTCGGGCTCCCATCTCGGCTTCCCACTCCAACACCTCCTGGTCACGAAGATCGAAGGAAAGGGTGGTACATCTGGATCGGCGGGATCCTTGATCGATGCTGAGCCTTGCTTCCGTCCGATCGACTTCAAGATCCTCACACTGCAGAACGCGGCGCGTTCCCAAGCTGGACCTTCTTCAGATCGGTCCCTCCTAGCCCAGGACGTCCCCACAGCTGATGGCGTAGGCGCAGCAGTGGTGGGCCTCCAGAGTGAAAGCACACTGGCGACCACGTTCAACCCGAGGTCCTGCGTGGCTTCTGTCCACCTCCAGCCTGGCCAGCAGCTCCATCTGCCACTCGTTGCTCGAACATATCTTCCTCGTCGAGATCTGCAAGCGCCTCCACCGCCTCCCCGACGGACTGTGGCAACACTTGCTCGTCGCTCGACTTCTCCTCGGGCGCCTGATCCATCGGGAATTCACAGCTGGAACCGTAGATGTGATTTCGATCTGACAGTGCCCATCTACAGCGCTCCGTCATACCGCAGCCCATGTCGAGCGCCGCAATGCGCCTGCACAATATGAGAATCGGCCGACTTGCTGACCGTCCCTTGCTGAAACCACCCAGGCACACCATGGAGTCGGTGATCCTCAGGTCTCGTCGGCCCCAGCTCGCTCTTGATCTCGCTGGCCGGCGAGCAGCACCGAGGCCCGTCCCCGTCTCCAGCAAGTTGGTGTGCTCCGCCTCGTCCCACTTCCATCTGCATACCTACTTCCACCACGACATGTCGTCCTGACAGGGGTGGACCGGAAGCACTCGGGCTCGGGTGCCCAGCCCGACCTCTCCGGCGACGTGCTTGTAGTCCTCGCCCTCAGCCCAGGTCTCTCGACAGTACATGATGATATCCCCGTCACTACTGTCCAGCCTCCACCCGCGGCAGACCTGGCCTCGCGCCTCCGCTCCTTCACGTCGTTCTGCGTCGCTATGACGGCTCCTCCATACAGACTGGCATCGAACATCGTCACCGTAGGGTCCCACAGCATGGCCAAGTCGGCGGAGATTGGCGGCACCGCGGTCGCCGCTACGGTCGGCTCCTGCAGCCCTTCCCTGGGTACTGGCCGTCGGGCTCCGCCTCGAAACTCCATGCATCACTGGTACACCTCCGCTACCACATTGAGCGCACCCCTGGAGCGTGTTTCTTTCTTGCTTGGGGCATACTGGGCATTACAGCCTCCGCCCCCCCCCTCGCCCCCCCCCCCCTATAACTTAACGCCCCTCCCCCCCTGATGCGCTCCAGGCACTGCCGCCGAGCGCACGGCGGAGGGGAGGCGTTACATTGTACCCCCCCTCCCCCCCCCCTGGCCCTTCCCCCCCTATACTGCCCATTATCGCCGACAATAAAGAAACGCGCTCCTGGAAATCAAGAAGCCCCAGGAGAGGATACCCACGATCCGCGCGATGGCGCCCGGCTTCTCTGCCCTTTGCTTCAGGATAGCCATGATGCCTCCGACCGCCAGCCACATCTTGCCCTGGTTGGGTGCAAGTCGCGTCCCCTGGAAGGCGCCCCCGGTCATGCAAGCGGTCTCCGCGTGCACATCCTTGTGTACCTTGAAGCCTGCCGCTTGGGCGAGCTCCTTCGGACCCAGCCTCAAGTTGGGTCTGTCCCTCTACGGGAGGAATTTTCAAAAATGGTAGAAAAATAGCCTGGGGACATCATTTCGACATTTTTTGATTCCTTTTGGGGCAGTGTTTGGGCATTTTTTATTTTTCGTCCCAAATCCGCCTGTAGGGGGTCGGACATGCCCGACCTAAATCCAGCCAGACTTCTCGTATGGTTTCCGGTGGTGGTAGTCCAGAGGCCGCCTCGAAGTCGACGCCCAGGATTCCGAAGTCGTCGATGTGCTGCCAGTGGGCTGCAGGCCGACCTCGAGTCAGCGGCGGTAGCTCTCCTCCTTCGGCGAGTCGCGTTTTGGTCAACGATTCGCGAACCCGTGGGCGGGCCCCGCGTCAAACAGGTCCTCCATCGTGGTCAGAGCTATCCAGCACGCCCACGAGAACCCCATCAGGGCCACCCTTCCGCCCCCGAGCCCCCCCCTTCCCCGACTGCTTGAACTCGGCCGATAGGAGCGTCTGCAGATCCTCCGCGCAGACCCCAGGCAGCACAAAGTAGGAGGCCAGCTCCTTGCCCAGGTCCAGTGTGTAGTAGAAATCGGGTAGGTCCCCTGTGCCGTAGCTCATGCGGGCACCTTCCTCCTTCGTGTCCTCGGACACGTCCAGGAACGACATCGCGCTGACACCGCCCATAGGACACCAGGGGCGAGCCAGGGTGGCTGCCACCAACTTGCATTCGAGCGACGCTGGTCGAACACCAGGCGCAGCGAGACCACTGGCTCACCCTCGACGAACTCAGCCTTCTTCACCACGCAGAATAGCCCCACCTCGTCCACATGTTCCTCGGTCCTCCACAAAATGCCCGCTTCAGTCATCCTTCTTTCGGCGGAGGTGCGGATCCACATAGTTCTTCACCTCGGACGCCCTCGTGCACTCCTCGCCGTTCTCCCTCGACATATCCGTCTTGAACTCTTACAACTTCTGCGCCACCCTTGGCGGCACAGACCTTGCATTCACTGGCTTCGAGCCTGGAGGAGGCAGGGCGACTGGCTCCCACTGGGAGGACCCGTCTCGCCCCTGTCCTGTATGCGCTCGCTTCCGCCGGCACGCCTCCTCACCAGCTCGGCCAACCTCGATGACAAGGTCGACCAGGATTGACAGTCCGACGCCGAAGCGGCAGGGCGCAGCGGCAGGATCGCAGCTCCTTGGAAGGGCGACGACGGCAGCGGTGAGTAGCGACGAACCTCCTCCAGCACACGTCTCGAGAGGTCCCCATCCATGTTGCTCGGAATGGGCCTCTGGCCCCATGCCTCGATCGAATCCAGCAGCTCGTCGGTCAGTCTCCCGTGGTACAGCTGACGTACACCCAGCAGACAAAGACTGGCCTTTCCCAGAGCATCCACCTCTGTTCGCTACCTTGATAAGACGCGACGCGAGGTCGTTGATGGACGAGCTGGCTGCAGGAACATAAGTACCTCGAACAAGACGTCGCGCCGCCGTGCCATGAGAACCCAACTTCAACGTGCAATCGGTCGCGTGGTGGCCGGCCGCGCTCTTGCAGCAATGCCACAGACTAGCAGGTACACTAGCAAAAGTGACCAGCAGGACGCAGAGACTCCACCCGCCGCAAGACCCTCGCAGCACTGCCGCGCTGTCGAGCACCACTTGAAACTCCCTGAGGCTCACGGCGCTCCCGCACCGCCGTTGTCCAGGTCCGCCCTCGCTTTCATCGAAGAAGAGCAAACCACATACACACAAACTTTTGGCGCTCCGCGCGGGTTTCTTGAATCCGCGCTGGGCACCCCTGGCGGCGCCTCCGGCGCCGCCCCTGGGGCGCTCCGCGCGCCAGGGAGGGCAGCCTGGCGCGGATCCAAGAAATCCGCGCGGGGCGCCAAACAATAATGTTTATGCTTTTCTTCTTCTTCTTCTTCTTCTTCACCGGCAGCGCGTCTCGGCCCGTCGCTCGCTTCATCTCCTCCCTGGCGTTTACTTCTCGAACCCTACTCTCGTCCGCCAGCTGGAACTCCAGCCGCCTCGCCGCCTCTCAGTCGACCTTGGACTTCCACCCCCTGCCGTCCTTCGGGCGGCGCCAGTCTTGAGTCGGGCGTGTCCCTCTACAGGAGGAATATTCAAATTAGGCAAAAATAGTTTAGGGACGATTGAATATTTTTGAATTTGTTGTTGACACTTTCTTTGGACTATTTTTCAGTTTTCCGTCCAAAATCCGCCTGTAGGGGGACACGCCCGACCGAACTCCAGTCGTTCTTGCTCTGCACGTTCTGGTAGGCCCGCACGAGCGCGTACCCCTTGCGCACCAGCCTCTCGAAGCTCACCTGGCGCAGCAACCCCTCCTGACGACTTATCAGCAGCATGGTGTCCACGGCCCCTAACGCAGCTATCATCTCGCGTGCGGTGTGGCACCCAGCCCGCCCATGTCGCGGATGAAGTCCCTGGACCACGCCTCAGTCGTCTTGCCCGTAGAATGCATCTCAGACAGCACATCCGAAACGGTCTTCTAACGGTACCCCTCGGGCAACATCGAGGACCTCTCCTCCGCTGGTATCTCCCGGTAGTCGCTCAACTGGTCGAGGAACACCTTCTGTGGCGACTGGGCCTTGAACCTAATCCTCTTGATGGTCAACTCCACCGCGTCCGACTGCGATCCTGCAGCACTCTCTGGAGTCTTCAACATCCAGCACGCCTGACGTCACCACCTTCACAGGTGGGGACCACTCCTCCTCGCTGAGCCCATGAGGGCCACCGCAGAGGAGGACGCCACTTCCTGGCCCAGCAGCTTCGACTCGAAACTATCCAGGCGCGCCATCATGCCCTCGATCACCTGCTTCAGCAACACGGTGTTCCTCGGTAGCCTCCAGCGTCGCTCGCCGCAGCTCCCTCGTCCGCTCGGCCGTCCGCATTTCGCACATCTCCTCCGCCATCGCCTTCTGGGAGGTCACGAGGTCGCTCAGCTGCGCGGCCAGCATAGCATCATCCACTGGCCGCGGCGAGGAAGGAGGTGGAAATGGCGGTCCAGGCGAGCCCACAGGAGAGATCGGATCTCCAGAAATTGAACAAGCGACGAAGCAACCGACGACTCCCCTGCCACCTTCGGATCAGACATCTCGTGAGCATTACAAGCGACGATCAGGACGAGCGACACACCCAACGCCAGCCACCTCTGGAGCGGTATCAGCCGTTGGGCCCACTCCTTCCGCTCGCCGAGGTACACCATCCACTTTGAACACTCCCCGATCTTTCCACAAACGCACCCTTGGCCGAGCTGCAGTAACCGACCGTGGCCATCCACGCATCGAACATGTAGTCGATCACTCCCCAGCACCATCATGCCCTCGGAGAGCACGAAGACCGCCGCAATCAGTCCAAGAACCGAGCCAGACTCCTCAGAGACCACCTCACAGCACGTAAAGAGGATCAGCAGGAGCTCACCAGCACATAGAAGAAATTGGCCGCCATCGCCTGCTCTACAGCACGTCCCCAGCGATAGACGGGCAGGGTCTGCACTGTCTGGGACCTGCTAGCTTCCGCAACCTGAGCCTGGTACACCTTTTTCTGAGCACCCTTGAGCGCTGGCATAGGGCGCCACCTGATCCCAGGGACAGCATCTGACATGATCGTCTTCTCCGCAGTAATCGTCACCAGACCCAGATGCAAGTCTGGAGTGATGACCACCCAGCTGTTGCCTGACTTTCTCCGCACAAGCTGCACTTCTACGCCGTCCGTCGCAGTCTGACAATAGAGCCAACGAGTCCATACTTCCACAGACATTTGTGCTTCCAGACCACCTTTCACTTCGAACTCAGTGTCGTCACTCACTGGGTCAGTAACCACCGAGAGGAATGTCAGGAGCAGACCGACGGGTCCAATCAGCTTCGCGTGGTTCCACACGACTCCTCCGCGTCTGGCAGACTTCTCCACCTGCCACAGCAGCAGGTCGAGCCCACGAGCACCCACGACGAGCCCACAGAGACCGGGCTATCACAGACCGGCGCGCTGCGGGGAGTGAATATGGCGAAATCTTCGGGCGCTGGCATAAGCGCCTGAGCCAAGAAGCTTCAGCGGAGAACACATAAATATAACGTGTTATATTCGCCCCGTCTCCACCTCGCCCTCTGAAGGAGGCGGGGTGGGGAAATGGTCAGGGAGACGGGGGCCCGAAAAAGTCAGTGTATACTATAGCACACAACATCTTCCAGGACCCTTTTTCTCCAGGTTACTTCCCCTTAATGCTAGTATAGGGGTCCCCAAACGGTGCTGTGACCACACCGTGTGGTGAGTCAATGCGGATTCGGGGGTCACCACGTGGTTTGGGGACTTGAGTCTTTCTCCGAGGACGTCTCAAGCGACTGGGGTCTCCAGGGCCCAAAACCCCTTCGGTGACAGACCGTGCGGTGAGGTCTTTAGGGAATCCGAGGTCACCGTGCGGTCTGTCACCGCACGCTTTTGGGACCCCCGATGCTAACATTAAGTCGGGCATGTTCCTCTACGGGAGGAATATTCAAAAATTGTCACAAACAATTGTCAGTGGACGATTTTTCTAGTATTTTTGAACATCTTAGAGTATTGCTTGACTATTTTCCATTTTTTGTGCAGAGCCCCCCTGTAGGGAGACATGCCCGACCTAAATATACGTGTGCTCCAACTGCCGCGACACAGGTCAACGGACGCGACGAGGCGGGCTTCATGGCACAGGTCTGGCAGGAGGCGAGCGAGCTGGTCCGGCTACCGCTCGGCGGGACGCGCGGAGATCATTCGGGGGAGGAGTTTGTATGGAGTCGAGCGAGCTGGCGAGCGAACGAGGGCGGGAGGGAGGGAGGGAGAGAGAGAGAGTCAGAGGAGGAAAAGGTACTCATACCTCTACCCTTCGCTCGTTTTCCCCTTTTTGGGCCTCCTGGGCGGCCCTCGTCACCACCGCTGGATTCGCCTCGAAGCTCTGGTCAGAGGGCACCCCAGGAGAGGTCCGGGGAGTGGCGGTATCAGTACCGTTTCGTTTCCCCAAGAGAGAGAGAGAGAGAGAGAGAGAGAGAGGCTGGGTAGTGTGCATCTAACAATTGCAAGGATCTGCACAGTAGCTTCCTCAGTTGCGGACAAGAGTGAGGGGGCGGTGGGGTCGTCGGCGGTCTGCGAGGCTCCGAAGAAGCCCGCCGCATGCGCTCCTTTTCCTGCACATTCAACAGCGAGCCCGTCGCGGGCGCCAGAGTTTCGTCAAAGCGATGTTGGTGGGTCGCGGTTAGGTTGGGGGTGGGTCGCGGGTGGGTCGCGGGGTGGGTCACGGAGCTGCTCCTCTTCCTCCTCCTCCTCCTTTTGCTTCTCCTCCTCCTCCTCCTCCTCCTCCTCCTCCTGGTCGCGGGTGGGTCGCGGGGTGGGTCGCGGGCGAGGGCGACGACGGCAAGCAGAGTCCGCGCTGCGGAATCCCACGCCAGCCGCTCTCAGGAACGTTATCAGACCGTTCGGCTCTTGTAGATATAATATACAATACATATGTATTCACAATTCCTCCTGTGCTTTTATATATAGAATATAATATGCATTCACAATGTTTTGGCGCTTTCTTAGAGTTTGAGATTTCCGTAGGTTTTTGCTTAGAGGTTGTTTGATTGTTTTTTGAGTTTGAGTTTCTTCGCCCGATATGGCAGTGGACCGCCTGCAGTCGCTATTGCCGAACCTAAAACAAGCATAAAGCGCCACCGGACTCGTTGGGTTAGAACATAGTTTTTTTCACGTGGCGATCGATCCCTTGATGGTTGGCCCCAAGCCAACGGGACGATCAAAGAAGCAGGAGCGTGGCGAGGGAATGGAGGAGGAAGGGGCGAGGTAGAGGGCGGGGAGTCATGTGTACGTGGACCGCGGGGGTCAGAATGGGAAAAGGAGGGGAGGCGGACTTGGAAAGGCGCCCCCCACCAGGCTCCAAGACGGCCTCAAGGCCCAGCGCACCAGGCGGCAACGGGTGGCAACGTGGCGAAATCTCGCCAGACCCAACCAGCGCACGGGACGGCAACGAGGCGGCAACGGGCGGCAACGTGGCGCAACCTCGCCAGGCCCACCCAACGCACGAGGCAGCACCGTAGTGGCCGCGAGGCGGCAACGTGGGCGGCAACGGGCGGCAACGTGGCGAAACCTCGCCGCACCCTTCTGGCGCACATGGCTTCCACGAGGCGCCAACGGGCGGCAACGTGGAGAAATTTCGCCAGACCCACCCAGCGCACGAGGTGGCTGCCGAGGCAGCAACGTGGTGAAACGTCGCCAAACCCACCCACTCGCCGTCAAACGCAAGTAAGAAGCCCTCAGTGCAATCTTTGTGTGAGGAATGAACCTACACATGCAAAGAGGGAGAGAGAGATAGAGAGGGATATATATATATATATAGAGAGAGAAATAGAGATAGAGAGAAAGAGAGAGAGAGAGAGAGAGAGCGATAGAGAGAAAGAGAAAGAGAGAGAGAGAGCCATACTTATACGCATCTATACACATACATATATATATATATATACACACCAAATCAGGAGAAACATAAGGAGAGGTAATGAGAAAAACAAGTTGAGAAAGAGAGAGAGAGAGAGAGAGCGAGAGGGAGAGAGCGAGAGAGCGATCGAAAGAAAGAGAGAGAGAGAGAGAGCTTGATGCATCAAGAAGGCGGATACAGACGGCGGTAAATCCTTCCTCAATTTGGGTCTCTGGGGGCCCTCTTCGTGGCCCAGGACCACCAAGATAACGACACAGAACGAAACGCCGGTGCGGGGGAAGGGGCTTAGATCGTCATGAATCCAGACTTCATGTGGAGGCGTATGTTGCAGGCCTTTGTTTGGCCGTGTGGCAATGCATGCGGTCGTAGAAGTGCAGGGGAAATACCGTCATTTGTTCACGGAGAAGAGAGGGGAGAGGACTTGGGTCTTTGAACCAGGAAGCGCTTCCAGGTGCAGAACCTTTTGAACATCGTTCCTCTTTGTTGCTTCGCCGCTTTTCCGACCAGACGCCTAGCTTGTCATGGTGACCTTTCTGATTCTTGAGGGGGCTCCCTGGCTCATACGTGTATGCTTGTTGCCAAATCCAACATGCTACTTCGCTCCGTAAGGTCAGGTTGCTGTCATGTTTCGGTGGAGAGCGCACCGAGTAGTTCTCTGAGTAGATATATGTTAGGCGCATTCTTCTTGGTGGCTGCGGCGCGCTGTTTTCTTCGGAGAATATGACACGTTTGTTTTTTGTTGGTGAGCTCTTTTCGAGACTTTACCTGCGAATCGATTTGGAACGTCCGGTACAATAAGACTGCAGTTTGCCCACGAGGTTTTCTACGCCAGCCGCGCGAAGCCTGGCTAGCAGTTCCGCCCTTGGGGAGGCGGCCGGCTACTGCGAACGATCGGTGGTGTGTATGAGAATTACGCAGACCAGTTCTTCATGAATTTGCGAGGCCGGGGCGGAGGGTGCAAAAGATGGAAGGGGGGGGTCAGACTTGGCCAAGCTTGCGGGAGCAGGCTATGGGAGCAAGAGTAGGATGCTCCGAGGGGTGGAGGAGGCTTGCGTATCTTGCTGGAAGACCAGAGCGAGAGACTTCCACCAGGGGTGCGCAAACAGCGTGTTTACCACACTGCATGGTCAGGCAGTGGTGAATCGGGGTCACTGCGCGGTTTTGGGACTTGGCTCATTCTCTGAGGACGTCTCGGGCGACTGGCGCCTCCGAGGTCGTCCCATAACCGTGCGGTGACGGATCGCGCGGTGATGTCGATGGAGATGCCGAGGTCACCCCGCGGTCTGTCACCTCACGGTGACCCGAATTCGAAAACGCCTTGCCCCTCGCAATGTATGGCCTGTCCACCTCCTGTGACTATGCATTTGCGGATAGTTGGCTGTCGGTGCACAGCGAATGCACTTCCAGTAGTCATGGCAGGGTGGCGGCCCTTGTTGAGGTTCTCAGCGTCTTGTCGTCCTGGTGCTTTGGCGTCCTGTCTTGGTGTGCTGGTGGCCTTGCGTCCTGCTGTCTTTCTTGCTGAAGTACAAGCACGCTTGCATTACGAATACATAATCTTGTTTCAGAGGGGTGAGCAGTGATCAGAAGCCACAGCCCAAGTCCTGGTGATACTGAGAGCGGGCCGCCGTTCTTATTTTTGGAATGCTCGTCCATTGCTCGTTCTTATCATTTATCCAGTGGTGCCTTGTTCTCGTCAGTCTTTTACCCGGTGGGAGCCCAGGCAGCTTCACCATCGACTCGCATTTGGCCTCCTGGCGCGATAGTACTCATGCCATCAACGTGGGAAGGGTGTGCATGACTTGTTCATGTAATGATTTGTGTTCCTGGCAGTGATTTCCAGCAGAAGGAGGAGACGCTGGATGAGCAGTATGACGAGTCAGAAGGACGCAGAGGAGGCAGACAAGAACAAGGTCGATGGGGCGGAAGGCAAGAATGGGGAAGGCAGACGAAGAGACGGAGGTTGAACGAGAGGAGGAAGAGGAGCGTGCACCCCATTTTACCCTCTCCAGCATTTGCCACTGCATAAGGCAAGTTTTCACTTCAGTCTCAGACGGGGAAGGGCGGCGGCCCTCGTCAGCGCCAGCTGGCGCGACTGAGACTGGACTTGAGACCTCGAGTCTCATCAACGACGATATTCTAAATACTAACAGCTACACCTGCGGTAACCCTGTCGGAAGTACGGCAGCACAGTGTAGACGAGTTGTGTACAGACCAGGCAGCGGCCTCCCCGCTGAGCACCAAAGACGAGACACAGGTAACGCTGCCAGGTGTAAACCAGGCTTGACCGATGATGATCTCCGCTGTCAGAGTATGCAATTTTGTGCGAAGGTGTCGTTGGACCATACAGAGGTCGACGATGACACTTTGAGCGAATCGTGTCTGCCGCGAGCCTCCTCTTGCTCTTCGCTCTTTCCTCATTTCTCTCTCTATTGCGTGCGTAGCCTTATAGGCTCAGGTTGTCTACCGAGCTCGTGTTCAATGCGGAGGGGGCCCGCCCAACACTCTCTCCCAGACGCACTGTCACCCTCTCAAACGTATTCGCGTTGCCTGCAATACTTGGCCGCAGAGGCGCCCGATTAGAGCTTGGAGCTGTTCCAGCGGCGCTGCGGCTGTATTGACAATTCGGCGGCATCGTGCTGGTGGGAGTCGATGGTCCAGGCCATGTCTCTGTCACACCTGCCAGCGGCTCGGCGGGTCGCCGCCGACGTGCACTCGAGAGTTTGGGGCCGATGCTTATCCTCCTGTGCCTCCTCCTCCTCCTCCTCCTCCTCCTCGTCCTCCTCCCCCTCCTCCTCCTCCTCCTCCTTCTCCTCCTCCTCCTCCTCCTCCTTCTCCTCCTCCTCCTCCCTCGCCCCCTCACTTGGCGCGCGGCCGCGGCGCCGCTTCGACGCGGTGGTCGTCGGCGGAGGCGTGGCCGGTGTGAGCACAGCCTGGGCGCTCTCCCAGCGGGGGCAGTCCGTGCTGCTGCTGGAGCAAAACTCCCTCACCTCGGGCTCTACCTGGCATGCGGCCGGCCTCTGCACGCACTTCAAGGGCTCCCCCGCCATCGCGCAGTTGAGCTATTTCGGGCGGGAGACGTTCTTGCAGCTGGAGCGCGAGGGAGAGCAGATCGGGTGGCACCAGACCGGCTCGCTGGGGATCGCGCGTTCGCCCGCCTTCGCCCGCATCCTGCTCAACAGCGTGGTAGTCGGCCGCGAGCTGGGCCACGAGCACCGGGTCCTCTGTGGCCCAGAGGGCCTGGCCGAGGTGCAGCGAGACATCCATCCATTCGTCGCGAATCCGCGCGACGACTTTGTGCTCGCAGTGCATTCCCCCAACGACGGCATAGTGAACCCCGCGGATGCCACGCTGGCGCTCGCGCGGCGCGCGAGGCGCCAGGGCGTCGAGATCTGGGAGAACGCGGAGTGCGTGGACATGCGGCTGAGTGGCCGACAGGTGCGCTCGGTGGTGGTGAACTCGAGGGAGCACGGCCGCGGCGTGGCGGTCGAGTGCGGGGCCGTGGTGCTGGCAGCCTCGGCTTGGATGCGGGGCCTGGGCAAGCGGCTCACGAGAGCTCTGGTGGAGGCCGGCGAGATCGTCGATGCGCGGCGCGAGAACGCGGAGATCCCTTTGGGCTATGCGCCGCACCAGTACACGATCTTCGAGCCGATCCCTGGCGTGTCCAACCGGCTGCCCGTGATCCGGGAGTACGACCACAAGTATTACTGCAAGCCGGAGGTGGGCAGTTTCATGCTGGGCGTATTCGAGGGGCAGCCCATCCCCACCACACCCGACTTCATCCTGCAGCGGAGCCTCTCGGGGATCGTGCCCAGCGACGCGGCCAACGAGGTGTTCGAGGAGGACGTGGACAAGGCCGGAGCGTGGTTCGAGGGCGCCCTGGAGAATTTGCCCGTGCTGCAAGCCACGGGCATCCACCGCTGGCTCCACGGGCCCGACACGCACTCGCCGGACCACGGCTTCCTGCTGGGGCCGCTGCTGGCGCTGGACAACGCCTTCGTGGCGTCGGGGTTCAACTCGCAGGGCGTGCAGACGGGTCCAGGCGTCGGCACGGCACTCGCGCAGTGGATCCTGGATGGTTACCCCAGCGAGCGCGACTTCGCGCACCACTTCGAGGGCCAGAGCGCGGGGCGCGTGAGCGCGTGGAGCGCCTCGAGCGACGCGTGGGTTACATATCGGGCGCTCGAGTGCTACGGCGCCACCTACGCGCCGACGTTCCCGCGGGAGCAGGACGAGACGTGCCGGGGGGAGGCGCGGAGGAGCGCGTTGCACGAGCGCACGAGGCAGAGCAACGGGATCTTCGGGGAGGGCTACGGCTGGGAGCGGCCCATGTATTTTGTCAGCGACGAGGAGATGGCGGAGATCAGGCGCGGGGTGTGCGTGGCTGGCGGCAGCAGTAACACGCCCCTGGGGCCGCAGAATAGGTGGGAGGAGCTGTCCCCGCCCGAGAGTCGCGGCACCGCTGTGACGATCCCGCGTGAGCACTACTCGTACGACGCCGAGGATCGAGGAAGGCCAAAGTACATCAGCATGTTCTTTCGGTGATCCGCGCGGACTTCTCGGATCTGCGCGGACCCCCCTGGCGGCGCCTTCGGCGCCGCCCCTGGCGTGCTCCTCGCGCCAGGAAGCGAGGTCCAGCGCGGATCCGAAAACCTGCGCGGAACTCCAAACGCTTGCACTTACAATCAAGAAGCTGAAGTAAGGACCACTTGTCTGCGGCGGGGATTTAGCCATAACCACCGCCTGGGGATACGATCTTCGCGGACCTCCACAGGCGTATGGATACAATTGGCCCCCCCCCAGGGTCCGGAATGTATCCATATCCACCGCCCGTTGGGGCACCAGGACGTCGGTTCCCAGGCGGTGGATATGGATACATTCCCGCCTCGCAGCTTTGTGTGCGGCATGGGCTCTGGTTGTTCGGGCGGTTCTTTCTACTGTTAGGTCGGGCGTGTCCCCCTACAGGCGGATTTCGGACGAAAAATACAAAGTACCAGAAACATGCTCAAACATATTCAAACATTGTCAAAACATGTCCCCTTTTTATATAAAAAACATGTTTGAATGTTCCTCCTGTGGAGGGACACGCCGACTCAATTCTACAGCCAAGTCAGGGCACCTTTTTTCGTGGCCGAGGCTCGCCATGGCCGGCAGAGCCCCTCCGTTCCTCATCTGCCCGGGGTGGACAGAACCCCCACTCTGACACCACGACGCCCACGACTCCGCCACGCGCAGAGGGGGGTTGGGGGAGGGGGGAGGGCTTCTTGGAAGCACCCTTGCTTCCTTTAGAAGGCGCGGGCCTCCTCTACAGAGGTAAGGCCGGCGCCTTCTGAGAAGCCGCCTCCTTCTAAGAAGCCGTTCCCCCTCCCTCCACCCCCTCGTGCGCGCCGCCAAACGACGCCCACGACGCCCACGACGTCCACGACGTCGACGCCGACGCCGCCGCCGCCGCCGCCGCCGACGCCGGGAGGGCCGCGCGGGGCGAGCGGCAGGCCTGCCGCCGCACCTCCTCCGCGCGCCTGTGCGCCGAAGCCGCCGCCTGGCGGGAGCGCGGCCCCCACCCCGACGCCCCGCGGCCTTCTCCTCCTCCTCCTCCTCCTCCTCCTCCTCCTCCTCCTCCTCCTCCTCCTCCTCCTCCTCCTCCTCCTCCTCCTCCTCCTCCTCCTCCTCCTCCCCCCCTCCTCCTCCTCCTCCTCCTCCTCCTCCTCCTCCTCCTCCTCCTCCTCCTCCTCCTCCTCGGGGTGGACAGAACCCCCACCCTGACACGTCGCTTAGTGGATGTCCGTTTTCGACTCTCGAGATGGCGCCGCGGCCGTCGTTTTCCAGGCTGGCGCCCGCCGGGTTTGGGCCCGAGGCCGTCTTCACCAATCCACGTTGTGCTCAAGGGGGACCCTGTTCATCCCCGAACCTGGCGCTCCTGGTGGCCATGCCTTTTTTGGGTTTCTCTGGAGGATTCGGGCTTCTTCCGCTGGGAGCGCGCCGAGGCCCTGCACTGCCGCAGCGAGGTGGCCGCCTTCGACATGTCGCCCTTCGGCAAGGTGCTGGTGGAGGGCCCGGGCGCAGAGGAGCTGGTGGACGCGGCGATTGGAGGGAACGTCGCGAGGATCAGGGGCAGCGTTAAGGGGGGGGATCGGCTCAGGAGAGGATGGGGGATGCATCGGCCCCCAATCGCCCGCTCGTCGCCGATAGGGGCCCAATAGCCCACCCCGCCCAGGGACGTGGGGATTCGCGATCGGGGGCAGATATCGCCGATCCATCGGCGATGTAGGGCCGATTCTGGTACGATGTTCCCCCTCTGAGCTAGTCCCTCCCTCACGTTGCCCCTCAGAGGATGCTGGGCGGGGAGCCCGGTCGGGGGAAGCTCATGTACAGTTCGATGGAGGAACACATGCATTACATAATCTTTCGGAAGTCCGCGCGGATTTCTTGGATCGGCGCTAGGCCGTCCTGGCGGTGCCTATAGAGGCGCCTCTGGCGCGATCCGCGCGGCAGGGAGGTGGGCCCAGCGCAGATCCAGGAAACCAGCCCGGAGCTCGGAACGCTTATTCTTATGCCCTTCTTCCTTCTTCTTGACAGCGTGTACCTGAACGAAAAGACGGGACTGATGAACGGTGATCTGACGGTCGCCCGGCTGCCGGACGATTCCTTGTACTGCGTGGTCCCTGCCGCCGACGAGCAGCGCTTCCTGGCCCAACTCCGGAGGGCGAAGGCGGCGCTGCCCCTGAGCGCGGCCCGCTTCTCCCTCGTCACCGAGCGGTTCGCCACCCTCGCGGTCATGGGCCCTAAATCTCGCCTCCTCCTGAGTGCTGCGTACCCGCGGACCGACTTCTCGAACGAGGCCTTTCCCTTCGGCACGCTCCAGTGCCTGGCCGAGGGCGTGAGGGCGCTGCGAGTCTCCTTCTCGGGCGAGCTCGGCTGGGAGCTGCACGTGGACTCGGAGTGCGCCGATGCTGTGGCCGTGTACGACCACGTCTTTGCCACAGCAAGGGCTGCGCGCGCGCCAGCGCTGCCGCTGCGCGACGGCGGCATGTTCGCGCTCCTGGAGTCCCTGCGCATAGAGCGCGGCTTCGTGCACAACGGTCACGACACGCACCCCTTCGCAACGCCGCACGAATGCGGGCTGGGGTTCGCCGTAGACCTGGAGAAGCCGTTTTTCCTCGGCCAGGCGGCGCTGGCGGCGCGCTCCCCAAAGAGGCTCAGGAAGCGGCTGGTGAGCGTGGAGTTCCCGAAGAGCGGCCCCGAGGAGGAGTTCGGCAGGCTTCTGTGACCAACTGCGAACCCTACCCCTGCGAGTCCGCTCGACGCTGGGGTATCGGACTCCCCGCTGGGCTTCACTTGGCAGCAGAGATCCTTCGAGTTCTGAACCCCAGCTGGCGTTTCAGAAATATGGCCTGTGGGGGTACACATGGTTCATTTCTAACTCTTTGAAAGTTCTTTGTTTTCTTGGGGTGCCAAGATCCTTTCATTTCTACTTGTTCTGTCCTGGGTCTCTTCCTGGCCACTAGGGGGCCAGGAACACTTAGAAACGAGCACAATCAGAAATGAGCACGATTAGAAATGAGCGACGTGTAGGTTCACGCGTGGTTGCCCAAGGCTGTCTCCCTCCGGCCACCACAGCGAGGCGCCCCGGGCTCGCCGGCAGAGGTCGGTAGAGGGCGGCGCAGGGCCCGGGCGGGGCAGGAGGAACGAGGGGAGATGGCTGCCCGGGGGGGGGGATACGAACTCTGCTGCCTGCAGCTGGCCTCGGCCCCGCCCCTGGGCGCCTTCTCCCGATGCACTGGAGCCTCCTGGCGCCAGGAGGCGCCGGGGAAATCCTCCTCCTCCTCCTCCTCCTCCTCCTCCTCCTCCTCCGCCACGTGAGCTGCTTTGCTGACCCCTCTTTTTGCCGTCCCCCTCCCTTCGTCCGGCCCGAATGAGGGCGGGGGCATCGTCGGAGGCCTCTCGAGGCTGGCACCAGCACCGGTATTGGCGGCTGCCTCCACTCCCCGTGGAGGCAAGCCACTGTCTCGGTGGTGGTGCCGATCTCCAGGCCCCCAGCATCGACCCCAAGCAGCGCACTCGTCGCCCAGGCCGGGCGCGGGGGCGTCTCGGTGCCCGCCCAGGAGCCAGCTGCGTTGCTCTTTTTGCAGCGCCCGCCGAGCCTCCTGGGGGCGCTCGCACTGCCACTTCTCATCGTCGGTACGGTCTGGAGCTTTGGCTCAGCGTGTCGCTCCGCCGATTCTGGCCCACCACGCTACGGCGCGACACGCTATCCACTTGCTGGTTCCCAGGCATCAGCGCTCCGAGCCTTCCCCAGCCTCCTGCGGAGCGAAGCGACACGCCATCCGCTTGCAAGGCGCAGCGTGTCGCTGGGGCTCCTCGCAGCCCAGAGCGGAGACGGCGTCCTTACCCACCTAACCGGGGGGGTAGGTCGGCCAGCGAGGCCAAAATTTCCCCTGGTGGGGGTTGGCATGCATATTCGTTGTTCATGTCCAGAACTTCGACCCGTGCTCGGAGTGCCCGATCAGTGCTCGCGTGCGAAGTTCTCCCCTTGGCGCGCGGTGTCGAGCTTCTTGCTCCCGTCCTGCCCGGCCTGCGAGGCCAGCCAGGGCTGCCCTGGGGAGCTGTCTGCGCGCAGCCCCAAGCCTTCCTACCATGTTTTTATCTAAGGCCCTGTAAGGGGCCCCGAACACTCGTGTTCCCCGCCCTGGCCCCTGCGAACGGCGCAGAAGTCGAAAGCTCAGGCCCGCGCGCATGTGTTTCTGCTCCTCGTCTGAGGTGCTGTACCGACACGGGAAGGCGGTGGGCCACCTGACCTCGGGCGGCTTCTCCCACGTGCTGGGTCGGCCGATCGGGTTGGGCTTCGTGAGCCTGGAGGAGAAGCCCGAGCAGCTGTCGGTGAAGAAGTTCGTGGAGGAGGCGGCCGCGCAGCAGTCCCTCGTTGCGACCACGGGCCCAGTGCTCCCCTCCTCCCCCAATTTCGTGTGTGTGGGGGGGCGAGGGAGGAGGATGAGGAGTACATAGAGGATTGTATCGGATTGGAGCTCCAGGTGACCCGTGCTTCAACAAATGCCCCACCGTGCAATTGATCAAGTAACAGGCTACACAACTGACTGCTGAAAAGGTCTCTGAGAAGAGGTTCTCGCGACCTCCACGATTGCGACCTAATTCTGGAAAGCCGTCGACGAGGAGGAGGAGGCGGAGGAGGAGGAGGAGGAGGAGGAGGAGGAGGAGGAGGAGGAGGAGGAGGACGAGGAGAAGGAGGTCCGTAGCCATTTTGGCTCAAGGCCATATCGGACAACCTCCGTCTCGAGTGGCCTGTGCCCGCCGCGCGCGAGTGAGACCCTGGAGAGGCCCCCAGGACAAGGGTCTCCGCATCCCTTTTTCCCTCCTCACATTACACCCCATACCGCACAGCCTGGATTCAGCCCAGGGAACTACCATTCCTCTGTTTCGCGTCGATGGCTGGCAATGCTATCCCAGCTTCTCTCGCTTCTCAGCTGCTTGCTGCCCCGACCTTCCCGGAGTCCCAGGAGGAGCTCCGCAAGGATGCCGAGCGCAAACGTGCTCGGCTTGCTGGTTCGGCTGATGACGACGGGTATGCATCCGCTGATGACGGAGAACCGATCAATATCAAGGCCTACATCGACAGCACGAAGGACGAGCTCATGGCATCAATTGCAGCCGTTGAGTCTGAGGTCAAGACTAGTATCGCCAGTTCTGTGGGAACGCTGGCCAGTACTGTCCAAAGATCTTGCTCAGGGCTTGCTGTTCAGGTGGGACGACGCATGGCGTCAGTGGAGCTCAACCTCTCTAACTATAAGAACACGACCGGCAAGCGCTTGGACGATATGGGCGACCAGATCAAGGAGCTGCAGCGGCTCGTTGGTGTGCTACGCTCAGAAGAACCTGTACCACCTCCGATTGTGGGCCGCTCCGTCTTTGACAGGACGCCCGATGGTGCGATCCTGGTGGCAAGGACACGTACTGCCGTCCCGAAGGAGAACTTCCGCACTGCTCTTCGGCCGATCATCGAGCGCAACAACATCAGCATGGACGAGTGCACTTTCGAGGGTGCGGAGATGGCAACGCGGCAGAACATTCGGCTTCGTGGCAACGTCAACTACACCTCTCGGAAGATCCACCAGCTCCTTGGCTCGCTGCGGGACCCGCAGTCAGGACAGTGGGAGCGCCTTTCTATCAATGATGCGCAAGGAGCGCGTCAGGACATGTACATCGACTCAGACAAGAGCGCATGCCAGATCAAGCGTGAGCAATTGGTCAAGCAGATTCGTAAAACTTGCCAGATGCTATACCCTGCCAAGCGGTTCCACGCGGATCGTGCGAAAGGGATTGTGTCCGTGGGCTGGAAGCCGATCATCAAGGTGGAGCCCAACCCGAACGAATTACCCCCGACGGTCGAGTGGTCGGCCGAAAACATCGTCGCCGAGGGCATCGACAAGACGCGGGTCACTGATGCCATCGCTGAGTTCGTGTCAGGACCGCCTCCAGTGCAGTGGTCCTAACATACTGTTTGCGGCCTGGTGCCGCGCGCATCCGTCTCATGCCCCTCTCTCCTGTGGCTCCTGGAACGCTCGCTCTCTCTTCTACTTCAAACCCCATCGCAGAGATAGGGAGCTCCAATACCTGAAGAAGATGGTAGGCCAGGGCACTCTTCTGGGGATTCAAGAGTCTCACGGCACACCTGCACAGATTGACAACATGATATATCGCCTTCGTCTCCCTGTTCGTGCTTTTCACTCACTTCGCCCTCTTGATCCTCACCCTGCTGGAGGCGTCATCACTCTCGCTCCTGACTTCAAGTCGGCTGGAGCTGAGCACCCGCCGCTGGTTAGGGCGTCCTTTCTTAGGGGGCTGTGCGCTCGGGAAAGGGGCTTCTGCGGGTTCGCGGGATTCGGTTCGTCTCCCTTTCGGGCCCCTCGTGCGTTTTGCTGGATTCGGCTCGCGCGCAGGCGCCCTGTTCCAAGGGTCGGGGTCTAGCCGTCCCCGCGCTGCCGCCGGCTGCCCGTCGAGGCCCCTGGTCGACGGGCTCTTCTCCTGTCAGCTGTCCTAGCTGCCAAATCTCTCCGTTGCCAGCTACTCGTCGACACATCTGGTCGGCGCTCATTTCTCCTGAAAGCTGTTCGGCTGTGGTCAGCGGTGCTAGCTGCAACACGTCTCACCTAACATCCCGAGTTCCCTTCGGGCGTGTCCGCGGCACCTTCGCGACAGCTCACGCCGCGCCACTCGTGTCCTGGCACTTCGCCACTCCTTTTGAACAATCACCCGTCGGTCCGAGGCGGCTGGTCAGCGGTCCTGGCTGCACCACATCTCACTTCATCCAGTATTCCTTCGTCTTCCCCTTTCTGCTGATTTCTTTATCCATTCTCACTTCTTCCTTCCATCCTGTTTCCCTTCACTCCCCCCTCCCCCGCTGGGGCTTCAATGAGGGGCACAACGTGCAATAGACCTAGAGGCGGCCATCTCTGCCAGACTCTGACAGACACGGCGAGCGACAGTCGGTCTCTTCCGCGCTGTGTCCTCGCCCTTCTTCTATCCTCACACGCACGCACACATGGCTGCCTCTCCTTGCCCCTTGCTGCCCCCTCCCATTCAGGAGACGAGGATGGGGAGGTGGAGGAGAACGGCGAGGGCGAGGCCTGCGAGCCTTGTCGGAAAATGAGCTCTGTGTCATCCGCGCTCGTGGCAGGCAATACTGGTGGCAAGCGTCCTGGTGGCAAGCATCCTGGTGGCACCCGCAACTGAGGGTTCCATCCTCCGCACCTCGCCAGCGTGTCATGATTCCCGTCGGAAGAGAAAGGGGCACGGCACGTATAGTGCCTTGAAGACAATCGCGCTTCGGATCCCATCCTTGCCCCTCCCTCTCCTTTTCCCCCTGCATACACTGCCGCCCTTCCTTCCTCCCTTCCCCCCTCCCATAAACCTCTGCCGCATAATTCCTCGCAGCGCTGGCTCAAGCAACACGGGCCGACATGGGCGCTCTCTTAGCGGAGGTCCGAGACGGAAATTCCGCTCTACAGGAATGGGAGGGCGTACCTGGCCTTCACCTGCGCTTCGATTTCCTGTCCGCGAATGGCGCGGACCCCGCCCTGCTGCATTCCTGGCGGCACGGGCACTCTCTCGGGGCGTCGCCTGTCGTCCCGAGGCAGGTGCGCAACCATCCTTCCGTCACGTCCCAGCTCGCGTGGGCCGAACGCGAATGGGACCGCCTGGCTGAGTCGGGGAAAGTTTCCTTCTTCCCGGCTGATGCCCCTCCGCCCACCTCAACGTCAACCCGTGCGGCTTAATCCTGAAGCCGCGCCCCGGGGCGGACGCCGAGGCCGACGAATCTGAGCGCTTCAAAGCGCGTTTAATCGTCGATTTGCGGCGGGGGGGCGTCGACGAGTGCATGCCAAACGCCGACGTCGCGTACGGCACGCTGGATCAGGCTGTGGCCCGCATGTCCGCGGGTTCCTGGTTGTTCGTCCTCGACCTGCGCGATTGTTTTTTAATTGGCGTGTTTCCGACGCCGACTCGTACGCCCTCGGCTTCTATTCCCCTGACAGACGCCAGTTCGGGAAATACAATTATTTACCATTCCTCTTGTTCGAGGGCGGGCTCTGAATGTTCGGTTGGAATTTAGCAGTGGGGCTAGGATCTACCACTATAACATTCACAATTTTGGGCTATCTAGTGTACAACGGGACTCGATCATAGTATCTCCAGGGACCTCGAGGCAGCTCTTGAGGACCCAGAGAGGATCTTGGTCATCGTAGGCGGCGACTTCGATATTTCATCAGCGCCCCCGATAGCTGCTAACAAGGACTCACCCTTTACGATCACCCAGGGCCAGGACTGGAGGCGCTCGCAGTGCCGAGCCTGGAATCGACTCTTCGGGAAAATGACGGAAATCGAACTGAATGAACCGACTCATTTCAACGCAGCTCGGGGCACGCTGAGTAGTATTGATAGGCTCTTTGTCTCGTCTCCAGGCTGGTGTCTGACCCAATCAGGCACGGGAGGTAGGACACACGGGCAACCCGAGACCCTCAATGACACCCTCATCTCTGACCACGTGGGGATCTCGTTCACGATGTCCCAGAGGTCAGCTACCAAGCCCGAGGAGCGTGCGATCCCGAATGAGATTTTTCGTCGGCCTGAGTACCAGGCCAACCTGTCCAATATTATGGCGCAAGTGGACACCTCGTAGCTCTCTCCTCCCCTCCTCCTCGACTGCCACAAGACGATGATGCGTGAAGCTGCCCGAGCGACTCGCGACGTGATCATCCGACACAAACCTCATGACCCTCTATCCCGCCTGATTATCTTGAGAACGATTTCGAGAGCTATTTGGTAGCAAAATATCCCTCTTGCCCGTCGTGTGATAGGCACGCACCCGCTTGGCGCCAAGTTTCTCCAGATCGGTGCTGACTGTACTCGGGTGGAGCTCTTGGACCCTCCGGCCTTCCAGTTGGCAACCGAGCAGGAGCACGGCCGCCTGTTCGAGTCTGCCAAAGAGTTTGCGAGCAAGCAGTTGCGGAACTGCGAGATCGGCCCGTCCAAGGCTAAGCTTCGCCAACGGATCCGAGGTCTACAGAAGAGAGGGCGCTTATGGGCCCCGTTCGACAGAACACTTTGTCTCCAAGGGATTCGGCCCACTCCTGAACCTGATAGCAACAGCCAGGCGACCACGTCCCCCTCGGGCATGCTGGATCAGTTGGCTAGGCACTGGGCCCCAGTGTTTGAGGCCAAGGCTACTGATGGTGCCGCTGCTCGGCACTATTTGGACCGCTTCGGCTTCGGAGCCGACATGAGCGACTTACCGCCACCAACAGAATTTGATATTCAGAAATGTCTTCGGAAAATTGGTTCCAGCGCCCCAGGGCCCGATCAGCTGCCATATGATGCTTGGAGATACCATCCTGAAGATTCCAGAGTCCTTTGGAGTGCACTTTCCTGGATGTTGGAGGGTAAGTCGCTGCTTTATGGTTTCAACGAGCTTCGTGGAGCATTTCTTGCCAAAGGAGAAGAGGAAGGAGATGAGGTCCAGGTTCTCCGTCATGCTAGCCAGACGCGGCCCCTCTGGCTGAAAAACGCCGACATCAAAATCCTCACAAATGTCTGCTGCCGAGCTCTCACCCGCCGTCTTCCTCAGCTGGTGCATCACACAGAGGGGATTCATACCGACACGGAACTTTGGCGAGAATGTGCTAGAGTTAGACACAATGAGCCGTATCACGTCCATGGAGGAGGATGTGGGCACACGATTACCAGTTCTAGCAGCTTTCGATTTCGGACAAGCTTTTCCATCAATAAGTCATGATTGGATATTCAAGATATTAAAATCACTGTCTCTACCTGGTCCTCTTCTTGGGTTCCTGGGTATGATATATATGGATGTATGGTGCCTGGGAGGGATCGGCGGTGGGCTTCGTGTTCTCTTTCCCATTGGCTCTGGGATTATCCAAGGGTGTCCTGCGTCAGGGATGCTCTACGCGTTGTCGTCGCACCCGTTCATGCTCCACTTCGAGGCGCTAGTAGAAACTCCCAAACTTGGACTCGTGAGGGCCTGTGCTGATGACAAGGGTAGTGTGCTTTTTAGGATCACAGCCTTGCGAAAATTTTTTTACGGTTTTCAAGGCTTGGAAGCGAATAGCGAACTTAGACCTTAAAGTGAACAAGTGTGTGCTGGTCCCATTGGTTGGGGATTTCTCTCCCAGGGTCGCGAGGCTGTACTCGTCGTGGCTCCAGGCCAATATCCCAGAATGGGCCGAGCTTAAAATCGCCAGTTTCCTGAAATACCTCGGGCTCCAGATCGGACCAGGCGCTGGCCAGGCCTCATGGACAGGGCCTGTAGGCAAGTGGACTAGTCGTGCCACTGCCATCGCCGCTGCTGGGTCGCCGCCGCCAATCACTGCGATGTTATATGATAGTCGTGCGCTCTCTACCTTAACTTATGTCAGTCAATTCCAGCGATTGCCGTATATCGATGTTGCTCGCCAGGAGCACCGACTGTTTGAGATGATGTTTAAGATGCCGCACTGTTGCCTCTCGCGAGCCGACTGGCTTCACCTCCATGAGTGGGGCGGCCCGAAGGTGAAAAGCGTTGTTCTCATGAATATGGCCACTCTGATTCGCTCTGCAATTAAGACACTTTCGATTTGGGCCGAACTTTCGACGACGCTAGAAGAGAGAGCGCGCGAATGCCTGCCCATCGCCGCTTTCGTCAGCGGCCAGAGGTTCCCCACCTTCTGGTCGAGCCCTTGTCTTGTGCACGAGCTGCAAGAGGCAGCGAACGGCTTCCCATCATATCCTAAATGGCAGCAAGCTGGTCAGCTCGCTGTCCGTGCCGCGGCTGATGCATTTTGTGATGGCGACAAAGTCCAGAGAGCGGCCCTTGCCTAGCTATCCGCCCATCTGTTCCCCTCGACCCTCGTCCGTGATTTCTCTGCCCGTCTCCTCCATCTCTTCCCAAGCAGTGCTCGAGCGATCGGCAAAATTCCTTGGACTGAAGTGCAGCGCTGCATCAAGATGTGCCCACAGTCGTGGGGCAACAGTTTTGTGAAAACCCTCTCTGGAGGGTGGACGACAGACAGCCGCTTTCAAGGTGCAGGTCGCGCCTGTGTGTTCGGATGCGGGTGCGGTGATTCACAGGCTCACTATTTCGATTGCCCCCGCATGAGAGCTCTTTTGAGACGTGTGCTCCATATGCCTTTTTTTTTCTCACTGCCCGATCCGCCGTCTTGGTCTCAGCAATCCCACCCCTCTTGGCTTCTCCTATCTTGTGGCCGCGCACCAGTTATACTGTCTCGCCTCCTCCCGTCCTTCCCTCCCTTTGAGTCCTGCCGATGCCGATGCTTTGCTCCCGACTCTCTCCTCCTCCATTGCACCGCTTTCCCGATCTGCTCTTCGAGAGAGCAGCGCGACGGGGGCCAGCAGCACATCAGCTACTTCACCACAGGCGCCCGCGGCCGGAGGCGCTGGCGATGGGCCAGCCGCTGCCGCCGCCGCCGCCGATGCCAGTCGTCAGTCAGGATGAGGACTTGTTCGCCTCGGTAACAGCGCAGGACGAGGAGAAGGAGGAGGATGAGGAGGCGCGCAACTCCAGAAAAGCAGGAAGGAAAGGGGAGGTCCGCCACTGCACGTCCGAGCGGCGACCCTCGCAGGGGCCTACCACGCGGGATGCCGAAACACATTCCAGCGGCGGCCACGCTTGCAGGTAAGCGGAGACCGGGGCGGTGGTCGTAGCGAGATGTGGCCGTGGTCGTTACGATGGTCTCTCTGTCTGTCTGTCTGTCTGTCTGTCTGTCTGTCTGTCTGTCTGTCTGTCTGTCTGTCTGTCTGTCTGTCTATCAGTCCGTCTGTCTCCCTGTGTGTCTGTCTGTTTGTCTGTCTGTCTTTCTGTCTGTCTGTCTGTCTGTCGGTCTGTCGGTCTGTCGGTCTGTCGGTCTGTCGGTCTGTCGGTCTG